ATAACGAATTTTTATTTTCATTTCATTTGCATATTTTTCTTATAACTCTTTTCGCCAATTCACAAAACAGACACTGAATTTTACGATTTTGACCAATTCAATGGTTTCTATTTAAATTCATTTTGATTCCATTTATGTTCGAAGTTATGTATCGTGATCGCAGCAGTCGTTTTGTTTGCATATCTTGTTGTTCATCTCTACCTACCTGTTTTGGTTGCGGCTTTGTGGTATTTGTGTGCCTGTGCATGTTGTTGATCTGTGATAATTAATTATGCAAAAACCGCAAATTATTTTATTGCCATCTAATAAACTAAGCTCTTGCCCATCGATAAACTTCAGCAGTTCTTTTTTTCAATTCTCTTCACTATTCTGTTTTGTCATTTCAACTGAAAAATGCTGAAGCGCGCCAACGAGAGCATTCAAAATAAAAAGAAACAAAACATCAAAATTAAATATTTAATTTCTTGTTCTTTTATTATTTTCTTTGTCTGTCTGACGTTCGCTGTGGAAGCGTATCGCTAAGCTTCGAACAGGTCACATTATTTATTCGGCAAAAAATGAATTGGTTGCGGTTTCGTTCTTTGGTATGACAAAATTGAGAATTTATTGGCTGTATCTTGTGTGATGACTCGTACATGATCACAAACGAATTAATACTAAAGCGAAATAGATGCGGCAAGAGTTCACTCGCATTTTATTCTATTTCTTTTCTTTTTACTACAATATTGACTTCTCTGACATAAAATTGACCTTTCGAAATGCCATTTTGTTACTTTGAAAATTTATTCAAATCGCATTAAGAATCATACATGCTTGTAATCCGAACGTGTTTAATGTGGTGAAAGAATTTCTTTGGATTTTGTAATATGTATTTACGTGTGCGCGTAAAATTGTCAGATTCGAATCTTGTAATGAACGGTTTCTTTTGTTTGTGCGCATTTATTTTCTTAAGTTAAGTTAGACGAAGCAACGAAGCAGTTACATTTCCAGATACCAATAAATTGGTAATAACAACAATAAAACAACGACAATGACGACGCCGAATTCCGGTTAAATCTGTGAGACACGAACTCTTTTTGCGCATTGCAATTTTGAGTGTCTTATATTGCCGAATGTGGTTTCGTTCAAGGTTCAAGCGAACATTTGTTCAAAGTATATATATTTTGCATTTCTATCCGATCAAAAATGAAATTATTGTATGGAATCCTCTAAATGATGGAAGAAAAATGAAGAAAACACGGCAATGTCGATCGACTGATTTTTATAATGTGACTTTGCCTTTTCTGGAGCTTTGACTCGATTGGCACGAGAAAAAAAAGTGGCAGAGAGAAATCGTCAGAAATGTTGAAATATGTCTGAAACATAAGACGAACTAAAAAATTTCATTTAACGGCTAACAGGTGAGAAAAAAGCAATCGCGGCATTCACGTGAAATGAACATTATACGCAGAACATACTACGAAAAAAAAATTCATATCACGAATCGACATCTTTTTCTCGTCCCGCTAAATATCAGAGTCTTCAGTCACTTCTCGCTCAATACACTATTTGAACAAATGTATATATGTTGGATTCGCGCTCATTCTGCATGAATAGTGTTCTTGTATTCAATTCGCATGCTTTGCCACATTCAGTGTTCACACCATCGTAACTTATAGTTTGTACATTTTTCGTTTTGCACAGCACTTAATTTTTCTGCCGCAATTTCTGTGCCCTGAACGAAAGCTATATTTCAGGCATCATGATATGCATTTAAAAGAAAATTATTAAAACAAAAAAAAGCATCAGATGAAACGTGAATTGTGTGCGATCAAAGTCCGTGCGTCTAAAAATTGTATAGCAGTTGACTTGTTGAACGTACAACACTCATTCCGAGCTTATCAAACTCATTTAGAAATGCACGACACACTCCCGAGGAAGAAAAATTGCTTAGCTTCAGATTATTTATCTCGAAACATTTGAGAATCTTAATGTAACGAGATGGTTTTTCGAATGATTTTATTTCGCTTTAAGTGATTGACAAAGCGAATATTTGCGTTAATTGCGACAAAACGATGATGCGGTTCATATATAATAAAACAAACGGTGGTCAAATACAATCACCAATCAACTAAAATTAACAATTTATATGCAATTAAAACCCAAGCTGCGACTTTATACATCCACATTCACGCTTATCTTCACTCAGTCGCGCACACACTCCGCGTAACCTGTATGAACACAAACGCACGGGGTAAGTGTTTATTAAAATTTATTCGAGCGACTAGTTAACGAAGTTTGCTGAAAAAATTCAATAAAATGGCTGTAAAAAATTTATAGCTATCGCTGTAGTATTTTTCTTACCTTTTCATGGTTAGTTCCTTTCTCGAAATGTTTAAATAATGAACAATTTCATCTTCGATTCCATCAATAAAAATGCAAATGAGCAGGCGAAAAAAAAGTTGTAATAAAAACGATGATAATAAAAAGCAGAACAAACATACATACACACATACGATGCGGTGGGTGGAACGATTAGCTTAATGAATTACAATGCGATTTATGAATAGTTTATCGTATTATTCAGTGATTGAGCCTAATCATCGTTTCGACGGAATTCATAAAATGTGTTTAACAGCCATTAGCGATATTTGCACTTCCGCCGCCAAATGATTTTAAATAACCTGATACACGAAAAATGACAATCAAAATACCTCATTCACGATTCATTCACATTAATATGCATTTGTTTTTTGTATTGTGTTGGCAGTGAAAAAAAAATCTTACTGTTGATTCATAATTTATGGTGATTAATATTATAAATACTAAACGTTCAGAAAAAAACGGCTCAAATAAATCCGCTTATACATATTTGGAATTGATTTTCGGTAATATCAATAATAATTTTTTGTTGAGGCGTTATTCACACAATTAATTTATGTGAGCCAGACCTAAATAGATACTAATTTAATGCTGGGTCAATAAAACGTATACCAAATTGCATATGTTTAGTGAATGAAACAAGCCAGAAATCAAACTTATTACTATACATAATAGTTGCGTGGCAAATGTTATGCATTGTCATTTTCATCGGAGAAATGATCAGTGATAAATCACACGAATGTCAAGAATTGCGAAATTTATTATATCAGTGAATTATTATTCCGTATGAATAATATATTAATTCAAAAAATGTTTGCAAATTTTACTACACAAATCATCGATCCACTTGAACATTTTAACAGCAGTTTATCACTCGATGTAAGTTTTTATCGATATGTTGGGCGGTGAACAGTGCAACCAAGACCATCTTGGCAATTAGTAACACGATTAAACGAAATGATTTATATAGGAGTACAGTAGAAACCATAATTGCAGTTTGATTAACGTCGATAGTATAGAATGCTATGATTATAAGTTTATCGCTGTAGTGTAACTTCTCAAGAATCATTGTGTATTCAAAAAACAACCATCTGGTTACAATGGCATGATTTGAAGATTTTCCGGAATTGAGAGAAAACTAAAAATGTATTCATTTCATCAATGGAAAAGGTTAACCGAGACACTATAATTGATTAATTTATTTAGAATAATATATCATTTAAATTACCAAAACGTGACAAAATGACTATAGATTACCTACACTGGTGAGGAGGTAACGACAAAAAAAAACGGCGATCAATCGACCAGCGAAAAAATATCGTTTCGAGATGTATGTGTAAATGGTTTGGCTAAATGAATTCAATAAATATTCAGTTGTTGAAAACGAAGCGGTTAAGAGCATAGAGCCAGAGGCATGGCTTCGATCACGAGCCCACTCCGTCACTGAATAATTTCGTTTTATTGCTTTGGTGAATTCAACGTTCGTCCCATCGATCGCATAAAAATGTCTTTGCCTTGTCAAAGAGAAGATGAACAGCACTCAGCAGTACGATGCATTTCGTCGTCTCTGTCACCAAACGCAGCACATCACATATATACAGTAACAAACAGAAATTAATGACCGATATGTAATAGTAATCAATTTCAGTGGAAATGCACACCGTTCATCCACAAGCCCACAACGCATGTTGTTGCTTTCTTTGCTTTTCCCTTGCATAAAGAGAACCTTTCGTGTTGTCTTGTATTTAAAATGCTCGTTTTTTTTTTATCGTTTCGTTGAACAATGTTGCCGACAGTTATTTTTCGTTATTATTTAATTTTCGTTTTTCAATGTTTCAAAGATTGGCTGTGTTCTTGAATTGCCTGCCATCACGACGTCCTTTCATCGTGTGTATTTCTGTTCGTTTCTGTTTTTTGTCCCCAATCTTTGCATTCTTTTTGTCATTTGTGTTTTTTTAGTATTCGTTTTTTATTCGATTTGTCAACAACATCGCTGAAACGTTGGAGAAAAGACAAAAAAGAATGTGAAGAAAGGTGCACAACAAAATTGTCCAATGATGAATACACAGAATAAAAAAAGGGTTTCGAATTTCTCTTGATTCTCCGTGTGTTTTTTAACTACGTTGTTGAATGACATTTTTCTTGTTCTTGATTTGCTCGTTTTCCTGGTCTTTACTATATTTATATATATATATATGAATGCCACCGTTTTTTTCTACACAATTGTGGTTTTGTGTTGAGGTAGTCAGCGTCAACTATATTTTTTTTCGTTCAAAAATAGTGTAATATTGGGATGAATTTCGACGTGCCCGAAAATAATTGGAGATTTGCCTTTTTTGAAATTGACCAACCTGATTTGGTCAAGATACGATTGGGCACGTTCGATATATGTAATAAGCACGAAAAATATTACGTTTTGCACGGACGGCGGTCTCTTTGAGCCGAAAATGTTTTCAGCAAACTGAATACAGTGATGGACACTCACCATAAGCTATAGCGATATTTTTCGCCTGCGCATCTTCTCCGAGAAATGAACAATACATGTAGAATTTTTATCTTTCAACTAGTTTTAGAGAAAAATCGTAAACTTCTTTCGCAATATATTTTTCTATGAAGTTTAGTAAAAAAAAAAATGCATGTTATACTTTGATTTACTTTATTCCAAAAAATATATATTAACTTGCGCCAATTTCATCATTTGAAAATTTGAGTTGATTTACCGTCTCTGCAATCACGAAATTTGAATTGAACATTACCGCCATCTTCAAATGTGAATGTGACTTTTGCATCGTCGACAAAGAGTGGTTGACCATTTGCATTAAACATGAACCAACCATCTTGGTATCGATTTCCTTCAATGCCAGCAACATTTCCATTTGCAGTTATTCTTCCATTGGTATTTAGTACACCTAGTATTGAAAAATATTTGTTGTTGGTTTCCGAGTTCGGGCGGTGGTAGCATTGCATCTCATCACCCTTCAACGGGTTGATTTTTGTCAACGAAACTTTGCATTGCTCGATCCCTGATGACTTGCCAGCAGTTGCTTTTCTCCAGGTTTTTCCAATCATGTCAATACCACAAGTGTCACTGTTCAAGTTACACGTGCTGACTACAACGGCTGGAACGACACCATTACCGCAATCAATATTAAGAACTTGCCCACATAAACCTTGTCTCCAAATAAGAGAACCCAATTGGGTTTGTTGCCCTAGTGCCAATGCATCTTTAACACGATAGTCACCTTGGGGCACTTGACATCCTCCGCTATCTGATGTTTCAGACCAATATGTGGCCTTAATTTGATTTGATGTAAAATTGGCACCATGGTCGCCACCGCTGCAGCTACCAGTGTCATCATTACTTCCCTACGAATCAATTCGATGTATGTATATTCAATCTAAATCAAATATACAAAATACCTACCGGTGCATCTTTTTCTTTTTTAAATTCACCACAAACGCTGGAATTTCGTGTTTTAAAAGGTTTTGCATTATTATTCTTCAGCCAACACATTCCTCCCTTCGCATTTTTCCATGCAAATCGTGTACAATTTGGTCTTTTAAAACATAAAACTCCACAGTCTTCCACTTTTCGCATTTTTTTATGCCCAATATCACCACCAGTATAGTCACAATTGAAAGCCCATTTCATTTCATGCCATTTTATTGCCTGAGCTTGACAGAATGCCACTGAGAAGAAAACCAGTGTAATAATCATACTTAATTTACGAACTGATCGATTGAACAATTGCAAATGAAATGAAATGAATAATTCTGTTTTCGCAAATAGACGTTTTGATAACCCTGATGTTACCATCTGTTACTAGAAATATTAATTTATTAATTAAAATTGGTTCTACACTTTTTCCCACTTGGATTGGTCTTTGAACCGTGCACAATGAGGTCGTTACTGAATTCCATTTTTTTCGATAAGATGTTTTATGCAAAATTAGTGGAATCTAGTTATTACTACTAGTAATTGGTGAATATATGAGTTTCGGTAAAATTTTCATCAAATTTTATATTTTATCTACGTAAATGACTTTTTGTGTATCTATAACTTTTAATTTAAAAAGCAGTCATGGGTGAGTGATGCACTTTTCGATTTCATATTTTGTTCTTTTTTCATCTCCTTATATCTGTAATATCTAGTTGACGTTCATTTATGTAACTTCTTAAGTTTGAAAATGTGAATCTACCGTATTTTTTGTAAAAAAATATTCTCAAAATTTCATTTATCGTCGTGTAGAATCGAATATTCAGAATATTCCAATCATAAAATCATATCCATAAAAAAATGATCGGTGGCTTCATTCACGTGGCCACCACTGTGCATAAGCATATACGACATATGAGTTCATTTAATCCGAAATCGAATATCAGAAATATTGTATTAGTTTAGTTTTTTCTACGTTAAAATTCGGTTTCCATTGTGTTATTATTTTTATCGTTTTTTTTCGCTTCGATTCTTTATGGAATATGAATAGTCATTTGTAGATCGAAAAATTTAAAACGAAGCATTTATAAACAAAATGCGACAAAAGAAACAAGAACAACAAAACCATATAACATACACTAACAACAAAAATCTTTTTCGTATTCTTCCACAAGCATATCCAAAAATACAGACTATTATTCAACTAGTAGTACGAAATAACATTCAACGTAAAAGAAAATTATTCGCGTCTTTCATTTTGATAAAAAAAGAAGCATTCAGGGAAAGAAAGACTGAGAAAAGCAACAAAATAGACGAAACAATATAGAGAAGTCAGTTCATGTACGAAATCATGTCTTTTTGTGTTGTGGTACGAATCGACTCGTCGATTCAACTCAACCCAACTACACTCCATTCCACTCAACTTAAAGTTCTGAACAGTACTGGCTATAAAAAATTAAATTGCACACACAATATGGCCATACAGAATCACCGGCAACAAAATCGCCCAGCTCAAATATTAAAAGAGACACAACAATAACGCGCAATTGCTCATAAACTAAAATGAAAGCGGATGAACAACACTGAAAGCGGACGAACAGACAAAAATGTGCAATACCATTTGCCCAAACCACCAACCGTTTTACTGTAATAAAAGCAAGCAAAATAAAAACCGACAAAGAACTTAAAATCATAGAATAAGAATAATAATAACGTTAAACGAGTATCGGGTAATAATAGTGCTGGTCGCTTGATGTGACTCAACTTGTGCCCAACAGTTCACTCGGTGGCGCAATACAATTCAATTCGAATAGACACTATACTACATCGAATGAAACGCTCCGGTTTAAAATTACAGAACACGTTTTCTCAAGTATAATTCAGATATTTCTTGTATAAAAATTACTTTATTTCGCTTAAAATGGACACATTTTGCCTGCTAGTGCTCACCAACAAACTCTGATTCATTCGTTTGAATTGTTTGTAACGTAGCACATTTTTAAGGATTTTTACGTGCATGGAATTTGGATTTCGCATAACACTATCGTTGTTCGTACGTTTTGCGTATGCTTCATTTTTCCAGCATTTTAATCGAGAAATTCTTTGTGGTTGGTCTTTCTGTCTCATATGAACGTGTACAATGTACATTTCACGAATTTACGAATAACCTTTCGAAATTCCACGAAAAATATACATTACATTTACATATATGTATTGTATACCATTTCATTTTGTTATTCTTCTTTAGACATTTTAAATATGATGCCGTCATTTGTTTGGACAATTAGTCTAAATGCGTATTTTTGTGGTTGACTTGGTATCGCGGTTAAAATTACGTTGTTTGCGTATTAAAAATGGCTGCACCCATATATGTATATATTTAGATACCGGGCATTTGATGTCAACATCATATTTCACTTGAAATGCAATGAAAATTAATTTCTACACGTGAAACGGGTTAATCACTCATTACATTACATGTTACAAACAATGTCGAAATGGAAAATAATTCTCAGAAACCAGAATCCAATTGAATTTATGAGAACTTTTCGATGATACCATAAACCATTTGATTTTTTTTTATTTACGAAAATGCCGTCATCATTAGAAATCCATTCATATCTAATCAAAAATAATATTTGAAATGAGAAAAAAAATGATGTATATTTTTAATTCAACCTAATTGCATGAATCTGTTCAATTTTGATTGATGACATAAATAAGAGATTCGCTTTCACTTGCAGCCGGTGCATAGCATTTCTTCAAATCTCCCGCAATTTATGTTTATGGAACATTTATTTGTATTTTCAAGTAATGAGTCTATTTTATCGGCAAACATTAAGGGCCGCTAATGATTTGGGGCCTGTAATTCTCTACAAAGTAAAACATTTTGCTGATGTGAATGTGTGATTACATTTTCATTTCAAAACATTTTCAGAATCGTCCACATGCCATGCTGCAGTTCAATTAAATTCATCTCGAATTCATTGGTCGTCTAATGACATGAAATAATAAAAATTAATTGCACGCACTCGTACTTCAACCTTATTCACTCACAACCACACCGACAATATTTTCAAACGTTTATGTACAGAGAGATCGAGAGACAGAGAGAGCATTGACAAATGCGTATAAATTGTTTCTGGTTTCATTTCCAATTTGTACGAGATAACGATTTGCTGAAGAATGTGTATTGCATCATTTATGCGTACAAAACCGTATTTTGTTTTACATTTGCAATGGCAGTAAATCAGTAATGATTTCGTTGAATTTTGTTACGGTCACCAATTTCAATATGTTGTTTTGTGTGCGTTTTATATAGATACTTTGAATCTCTTGATTTATGTCCTGCATTTTCACGCACACAAAACACAGAAACACGTGGTTCACAACTTTGAACCGAGATTTTCCGCATGCCTTCTTTGCTACGCGTTGAAATGCGTCTTCAAGCATGCTTTCTTTCCATTAAACTGCATCCAGATTCGGATTGTGCGTGTGCACAATGAATTTGGGGGCGGAAACTCATTATCATTACCATTAGCAAATCGTGAATGAAAAAGAAGAAATCTACGGCCCGTTTTGAATTGAAATCGTAAGCAAACAAGCGATGAGCTACCGAGTCACTGAGATAAAGAGAGAAAAAAGAGAAATTTTTGATTTCCTGCAGATGTCTAATGATCATTACCGGAATAAATTTCAAAAGGAAACGAGAAAATCGTTTCACAAAGGGGGAGAAAATCGTTTGCCATTGCTACCGTCTACGGCTACTATTTCTGAAATTGCCGGCGACAACAACATCACAATTCAAATGCATACCCAACTTATTGCTTTACTTTTTTTTTTCTGCGGCATTTTAAACTGATTTTTATCAGAAAATTCTCTCAACTATCCAATTGATGGGATTTTCCTCTTGATATTGTTGTTTGTGAATAATTTGTTTCGCTAATAAATTATGTGCGTCCATTTTATCACCAATGTCATGAATTGCAAAGTAACGAATTCATTTCACAGGGAAAAAATCGAGACATCAATTGATGTTTTTTATTTCTTTTGCCGGTCTTTTTTTTAATATGTGCATTCTTACAATAAACTTAATTTCCGTCAACGATTCAACTGTCTGCTCCTATTTATAGATAAACTTGGTATTCAACTTCTATATTCTATAGAATTAGGGGAAAAAATCATATTCAAATAGCAATAAATTTTAAATAAAATACCCGAACAAAAATGAAAATTTATTCAAAGGCAAATTCACATTGACTTTACTGGTGTGTTCAATCTCTTGATGAAATGGAGCAATGTGAAAAAAAAAGTGATAACCGAAGAGTTTTTCCATTTACATGAAGCTTGTCGAACGGATGGGATGACCTTATGAATTTTCCTTCATTTTTTACACGACACACATTTTCCATTTTTTTGTACGCGTGCATTCGAAACCTTCATCAGTTGAAGATACCCTGGGTGCGAATCTAGAAACTTGACTCATAAATTATTCTGTTTTTACAAATGACTACGGAAATGGAGAAGATTGAGAGATGCAACAAAAACGGGAAAATGTAAACAAAAATTTCGGGCCAAATAAAACGAATGATTCACCTGAGTAAAAACTAAAGCGTTTCGTTCAATCAATCTAGGCAATGCCAAGCGAAACAAAACGAAACGAAATGGAACGAATAGACAAGAAAATCGCCCGTTTCAAGGACTATGAAAAATCGCATTTGCGATTGAATTAAGAATTGCTTTTGGTATTTCTTTCATTGTTTGGCGTGTCTTTTGTGTGAGCTGCATTTTCCGATGAGCCTTTTTATTTTCCGACGCCAATGTCATTAATCATTTGATGGTTGAGTTTTCGATAGATGTGATTTATTGCCGTCGTTCTTTTCATGTACACTTTTCAAATTCTTAGATTTAAGTGTCTGTTTGATGCATACTTTATAGGAAAGTGATAGAATCGTGTTCATGTCTCTCCCGTTCGTTTCAAAATGGAATTTTTTTGCTCATTCTCTCTCTCTTCGGCATCGCATTATCTCACTCAAAATGATTCAATGGCACAATACATAAATATACATGACGACACTTGTGATTTGGTGCGTGTTTGTGGGAATTTTCCCCTTGTGCATGTTTAACATTTAATTTTCACCCTGTTCTATGGTTTTGAAATGCAGACTCACAACGCCAATTACCATCAACCATCGTGCTAGCATTGATTGCTTTTTTTGCTTGGATTTTCACAATTTTAATTGTGTCACGTCCATTTTTCAGAGAAAACGAGCGAAAATTGTGACATGATGACCATTCAACCAGTCAAGTAATAGCAAATAAGCTGCGTC